GCCTTTTGAACGTGGACTATGTTCAATGACTCCATATGATGAATATATGCCATGACTATGGGAAAACTAGCTTCATAAATGGAATCAAGTCATTGGAACACCTCAAGTTTTATATTATAAGACTGAGCTCATTACTTTTTTCTCTTCAAAGCCACCCCTCATCCTATGTTTCCTATTTTTGTGAATGGTTCCAACCTTCCTCTACTCATACAACTTGAAAACCTTCACTCTGTCTCAAACATGTCTCTCAACCTGAGCAAGTCAATCAGACATCAATTTGTCTTTAATCCTTTTTTGGACTCTGTCCCTTTTTTTTTTTTCCATCCAAATACCCCTACCTTTGTTCAAACATTTGTAGTCTATTTCCTGAACTATTCTGGCTTCCCTGCCTTTGATGTCTCCTTAATATCCTTCATTCCGACTGCTGCCAGTTTTTTCACTGAATCACTGTCTAGTTCAAAAAAAAAAGGCAATCTTTCAAAGAAAACCAATTAACAACAGAATAAAATCCCAAACTTACTTTTCATGGCATTTAGGGCATTTAAATCACCTTTACAGACTCCCTCCCTGAACAGCAATAGCTGGGTAACTGATGAGTCCTCATTTTTGCAACACCCTTCTGAGCAGGGAGCCCCAAAGAGCAATGACTGAGGAGCAAAATAGACTGAGTTTGAATCAATCCAGTCACTTAGACTAGCTGTGTGACTCTGGGCAAGTCACACACTACTTCTGTTCACTTCCCTCATGGATTGAGGTACCACTTTCAGGAGCTTAGAAAGGGTGTATAGGAAATGCAGTGGAGAGCCAGGGAACTATGTCTATACCGAAGTCTGATATCATTGTGACTTGTATCATTGTGACCAGATTTTGTTACTGCCCCAGTGAGGGCTGTGACTTGTTCATCTTTGTGAGCACACTCTCTATACAAAGTAGATTCTCAGTAAATGTTTGTCTAACTAAACAGAACGTACATGAAGCATGAAAAAGGTGTGCCCCATTGTTTAAAGGGAAGATAACTTGTCTTGATGGCATAAGCATCAGCCATTCCTTTTCTTTAAATCAACTTAGCTGAGACTGAATCAACTTTATTTATACACCATAAAATGCACCCATCTGATGAGTTCTGACAAATGCATGTATTTTTGAAACTTGGCTTTTTTGTTTGCTCGTTTTTTCACTCAGTCATTTGAAGCACAATCTGACCCTGTAGACAAAATAGAGTGTACCCTTATTCTGCACTCTGAAACCCTAAGGCCCCCACAAGGTGAGGACTCCATACTGGCAAGGAATGTCCCATTTTCGGAAGCCAGGGCTCAGCCTACCTGTGGGCCCTTGGTTCTTTATGGAAACGTATTAGTAAATAAAAGAACGCTGTGTCCTGGAATTTAGGCTCCAGGAAGTACCCCTAAGACTTCTGTAATTGTGGATGCTCTCTCCGGTGGGACATTCCATGGGCCTCTGCCTTGTTGTGGCTACGCAGCCCAAGGCTGGAGGGCAGCACCCCCGGACGCTGCTGCCTGGGGGCAAAGTGATCCCTCAAAGGGTCAGCCAGAGTGCTGGGGTGGCCCAGAGGCAGGGGACGAGGTCAGGGGGGCGTGAAGGAACCGGCGGGCGGCGGACGTGACCGGCACACTGAGGACTTGACCCTCACGCTGACACAAAAGAGGCCGGAAAGTGTCCGGAGGAAGCGGCGCGTCACGGGGGCCGGAGCCGGGACCCTGGCGCGGCCGCCCAGCTGCGTCCCGGGTACACGGCCCGCACCGCCAGCCGCACTCCCGCCACCGCCAGCTCCGCGGCCGCCGCCAATGAGACTCCTCCCGCTCCTAGGTGAGTGCGCGGCGGGCGCGGGCGCGGAGGGGCCGCTCGCCTGCAGGGCATGGGATTGCTCCGAGGTGGTACTCGCCTCCCCAGGGCAGGAGGCCAGGTTTCTGAGAAGAATTGACGCAGGACTTCTCAGGATGTTTTTCTCCTTGGCCTTTCAAACTCTGGAATTCGATATGCACGGCCCAGGGACTAAGTCACCTTTTTATTCCTGAACACAAAGCCTCCGAAGTCCCCAAAGTCTCAGACTGTGCCCCCCCCCTTTTTTTTCTGATCGCCCCTCAAGGAATTTGGGAAAGCCAAACCAATAACACCTGTGGGAGGTTTCCTGGCATTTTAAGGGGACTGCCAGCCCAGACTTTGGGTTCGTTTAAAATACCATTTTGAGGATGTTGTGCAGAAAGATAAATCACATCTTTGAAGCTGAATTAATTCTGGTTTAGACAGTTTAGACAGCCCTATGCGAGGCTGGGATTTAGAATCGAACGTTTAACAATCTCTGGTTACCTGATAAGGACAATGTATCTCAGATGAGTGTTTTTGCAAACAATTAACTTGCATGATTCCTGCCCGTCCATCCTCAAGCAGGCTTGTCTTGAGAAGACCCCGGACAACACTCTAAAAAAGGATCGGCCCAGGCTTTTCCTCATCTTTTCCTAACAGCCCACAGAATACCATTTCCAACTTTGTTTTCAGTATCTCTGAAACAGAGTCTTGTTCTCTTTTATGCTTCATTTTGTTGGTTGTGTCTGTATGGTGTTGGTTTCCGAAAGATCAATCTTTGACCAATATACTGAGTTTATCTTAAATTCCCCTAATGGGAGAAGATGTAGCATAAATTTTATGATGCGAAAGGCAGAATTTAAAAAGAATATTGGATACAGAAAAAAAAAAACAGTAATTACATTTGTCCTCCTGGATGTTATGATATGTTGCTCTTCATCTTAGAATTATACCGATTTGAATTTGAAAATACCCAAACAATCAATTCATCTTGACTTCTTCACAGAATCTTTCCCAGAGGAGGCAAATTGCTTTACAATCACGCAGGTCCCTTTAAAAATATCTCACCTCAGAGTGAAGAGGCCAGTGATCTAGGAATGGTGTTTTCTTTATAGAGCTGGGTTGTTTACTACATTATAGCTTTGTTGAGATTTACTTGATAAACACAGATTGAAGAAAGTGCTAATCTTTTTGCCTACTTGTTCTTGTGCTGTTATTTAGCTAAATACTCCCTTGGGAAATTCTCATAATCCATTTATCTAGATGGAAAGAAAGAAGGGGTTTTGTGTTTATTGTAGTCTAACTCAACAATGTGAGGGGGGATCTTTTTCTTTTCTTTTTTTTTTTTTTGAAAAAGTATATTTCTCTGTTTTCCTTAGTGGGTTTTTCCACTTTGCTGAATTCTTCCTACACTCAAAATTGCACCAAGACACCTTGCCTTCCAAATGCAAAATGTGAAATACGGAATGGAGTTGAAGCCTGTTACTGTAACATGGGATTTTCAGGAAATGGTGTCACAATTTGTGAAGGTAAACAATCTTTATTGTTTTCCTCTTTTGGATTTTTTTGAAAGAGTAAATTCTGATGTGATTGCTTCTCCCTTGTCCAGAAATTAAGTGTTTTACATTCAACTATTTGATTTCATGCTATTGATTAAAAAAAAAAACTTAATTAACTCAACAGTAAGTTTGAACTTCCCACTTAAAATTTTATACTTGATTATTGATTTTTGAAGAGCATGTATATCTTATTTTTATGTAACTATTAAAGACTGTCCTTGAACTTAAGCTGGAAAACTAAATTGCAGAGAGCAGAGTCAATACTTTTGGGAACAGAAGAACAGAGAGTTCATGAAGTCCGGGCTAACTGCTATGTGTTGCCTTCAGGTACCTTCTTTAGTATTTGACTTCCTAAATTTGAGGACAATATTAAGCGATTCGAGGGTTTTGCTTGTATACCCTGCATGACATCCTGGAGAGAGAGAGAGAAAAAGAATTTTGAAAACATATTCTTTTCCGAAAAAGTAGATCTCATTTATAGAACTTGAGGCTACAATCCAGAGCAGTAACAGTGGAAAAGGTCCTGGCAGGGTTCAGTTCGGCCCAGTGATTTGATAAACAGAACCGTATCTGATAATCATACTTCAGTGATTTCTTATCTGTGGTTTCCACCACCACTCTTCCTCTTCCCTCAAGCTTCACTCTGTCCTGATTCTCTCTTTCATTTTTAGTAGACTCTAGTTTTAACTGGGTCAATGGAAAAACATTCTGTGTAGCAGAGAGAGAGAGGAGGAAAAAAAAAAAAAGAAAACAGTTCCAAGTCATATAAATTAGTTTTAAAATATAATTAAATGACAAGTTCAAATTAGAACTGTGTGGTTTTATACTCCTAAATGTATTTAAGATAACATGGACTTTTTCTAATTAAGCCAGGATGTTGTATTGTACATTGTTAATATTGCATGTGTTTGCTTATAGCATAAACAAGTTGTATCTCGTGATTCAACTTGATAGGCTCTTAAAAAAGATTAAATATGCAGTACATAGTAAGACCAAACCTCATCATAATTAGTTTAATGTTTAAAAAGTGTAGAGCACAGCTAACAGTTGCTAATGGTGCATTAGATCAGGCGCTTCTCCTTGTACATACAGCCGGGATTTGCAATATACTACTCTACAAGCATTACAAAATTCTTTCTATAAATAATCTTAGATTTTTATTGTGTATTTAATTGAATGGCATTATGGCAAGTTGATAGTCGAGTGACCTTCAAAGTATTGCATCAAACATATTAGTGTGCTTTTCTGCTAATCATTACAAATTGTACCATAATACTTCTAAAATGGTGTTGCTTTTTTGTTATTTAGATACTTTTCAACTGTCATGATTACCGTCATTAACATCAATAATTTTTCACAATTTGGACCTTCAGCAGCTAACCAGATTATAATCATCTTTTAATGATTTTTTTTTTTAAAGACATCTCCCATTACCCAGCGCACTTGTTTTTTTCCCCTGCTGCCTAAGTCAATAGTCAGCTGAAGGGCAGAAAATACTTTCTGTTGAAAAAAAACATACTTCAAGATGTTTTGGCCTGTGATTTCTTCTCACACAGAGCACAATTTGTAATGGCACTTTCTTTTTTTCTTTTCAAGTTCTTTTTAACTTAAACCCCTTATTTAAAGAATGTTATAAATTCACTTGTTTTAATATTCACTGTATGAGGCTTATAATGTCCTCTTAAAACTGTTCAAACAGTGGTTTCCACCTTTTTCATCTTTTATTAACTCACTGATAGGCTTTTGACATTTTTCTCCATAAGTATATTTAATATGCTTTTTAGAGTTAAAACATTGTGTTCTCAGCTGCTGACTAGTCTAGGTTATATATTGGGTTTGAAGAGTCTTGGCTCTCTTCATCTCTAATGAGATTTCCCACTTTTCCTACCTTTCTCTAAAATTGGTATTAGGTCAGTAATAACTAGAGAGCAGTTTTGTTACAGAGGATGCCTACTTCTTGAGGAATAAAAGTTGATTTATTTTTTATCTCATTACCGTCATCTTCCTCATCTCCGTCAAATTTGGCTCCCTCAGAAACCCGCCAGATAAATGCTATAGTAATAACCAGACCTCACTAGATGTACTCTGTTCCAAGAGCTAGTTTTGAACAAGTCATTTAGAATTTGGATAACCTGGTCCCATAGAAACAAGTTTCAATAGTAGTGACTTTATTTCATTATTGTCATCATCATCATCATCACCCTCACATCAGGATAGCTAATATCTACCGTGCACTGAGTCTAAGATACTAATTAGCACAGCTCCTTCATCTATTATTATTCTCACATTATCTATAAAGACATAGAGTCTTAGAAAGCCCAAGTAAATATCACAAGTGATGCAACAAATAGGTGATAGAGCCAAGATTTGAGCCAAAGGCTGTTTCCAGAGTCTGTACTCAACTCACTATGTTTGACCATAAGACCTCTGCCTAGCAGATATTGCTATGCCCCTGGATTAAAGTAATAAATAAGAAATTGGCCTTGCTTTCCAGGATATCTAGGGACAGCTACAGAACGATATTAACAACTTGATGCAGTGTTATAAAATGTATAAATACAGGTAAATTTGAGATGTGTAACCAACTGCAGGGCAACTTTCCAAGTGGAGGTGATATTTAGGCTGAGAATTGAAGAATATAAAGGACTGATTAAGATTGACAAAGTGACAAAGTCAGGCAAAATGAATCAGCAATAACAAAGGCCCAGAAGTTGAACATGTGTGGTGTGTTTGAAGGAGCCCCAAGTATTTCATGCTGGATATGTATCACAAGGTATATTAGCTGGGGGGTCATTGGGAATTGAGTTAGGATGTCAAGATATGGACTGTATTCTCTTAATAAAAAAGAGCCATTGGCAAGTATTACGTAGCTGAGTTACATGACAAATTGTGTGTCTTAGAAAGATGACCCCATTAGGTAGAATAAGAAAAAATGAACAAGGGTCAACCTAACCTATAAAAACATTGTACTTTGTATAATTCATTATAGTTTATGTCACTTCTATCCAAGATATCTTAATTTTCGTAATAATCTTTTGAAGTAAAAAGTATGGATGCTGTCTTTTATTTACAAACACCATTTTGACTGGTTATAACTAACTCTGTTGAGCTCCCCCTTATAGCTTTTTGCATGTGAGAGAAGCAGGACTATGAAAGTTTAAGTGAGTTTCTGTTTCCCAAGGCTAAGGTGACAAAGCTAGGACTCAAACCCTCAGGATCTCAACCTTCTCTAGAATACCAAAAATGTCACTATATTACGAACCACCTGACTATAATTAGTGTACTACTGGTTTTTAAACCAAATTGGTAAAACGGTACCATTTTAACAGGAATGTATTTATTATTTTCAACAACTTTCCTGAGGTGTTAACAGGAATTTATTTACACACTTATCTTTATGCTGACAATGAGGGTATTTTAAGACAGAAGACAGAGAAGTGTTTGTGTAGAAATTTGGGGGTACATTTAAAGGCTTCTGAAATTGTTGATGAGATTTTCCTAAAATTTAGGTTATTTTAGTCTTTTAAACATATATTATTGCAGTTATACCTTATGCTTCTCAGCACAGTGTTGGTTACTCTCTGGGGCACAGTTATAAATCTAGAGAGTGAGACGTCCCAAGTCCCCTGGGTAATTAGGAAAGTTTTAAAAAGGGGAAGGGAGGTTGGAAGAATTGAAAGAATCTTTATGTACATATGAAACATAATATTGCTTGAGTTGAAATAAACTGAGGTGGGAGAGGTAAGAAGCAAGAACAAGGGGAAGGGTGCAGTACAGTGTGGGTGTGAGAGTGGGGGGAAGACATAGACTATCTCTCTCTACTCTCATACAAGCTCATTAAGTGGTGCTGGGTTTGGGAAGTTTCATGGATTCAGAATGGGCAGGCGAAAAACAGTTGCCCCAGGCGAGGCTAGGAAAGGCCAGGAAAGCTGTAATTGACAGCTTGTATGCATGTATAAAAATCTTTCATAGTTTGGGACATGCCTAATATGAACAACATCATAAGCACTTTATAAGAAATAATGAAGTCTCAGTGCCTGCACTCAGGGAGACATACTCTGCACTTAAAAAACAGTTTTTCATCATTATCTAATAACCATATATATGCCTGTAAAATTCAACTGGAAGGATATCATAATAAACTAGAGAGCATTGTGACACTGGTAAATGCAGAGAGAACAATGTCACAATAGCTATCTAAGAGTTACGAAGAAGAAATAGTCTATGGGTTCAGAATATGGGAGAAATACTGATTAAAATAATCCACTAGCATGATTCTGCCCAGGTTACAGAATAAGCACTAAGGACATGCAATTTTTTTCCATAACAGTTTGGTTTTTAGTAATAAAGAGGATGCTCATCAAAATGGGCACACCAAAAGTCATCAGAACAAATGCAAAGCGTACAAAATGTGTGTGTGTGGGTGTGTGTGTGTGTGTGTGTATGTCATGTATCATCAGTTAACACAGTTAGATATACTATCTAAACTATGTCTTACAAAAAATAACTGCAGTTTTAAATATTTAACAAAATGACAATGTGGTAATTGCCATAAGAGAAATGGGATCAGCAAAACTTAAATGATACAAGTCATTCTTTCCTTCTCCTTTTAAAAATAGAATAATGCTTAAGGAGAGTTTTTATAATGGTTTCTTCTTTTATTTTTCTCTTCCTATATGTTGAAGGAATTTGTCGTCTTATGGAATGGATATTTTTGAGGAAATCCCACCTAATTATTATGGTAGAGTTTGTTCTCTCTACTGTGTAACCCCTCTTGTCAACAGACGAAAGAGGTCATACCTCTAGTACAAGGAAAAGGATTTCTGGAACTGGCAAAGGTATTTTATTTATTTGGAGGAAGTTCATGGAAATCATGCATCCTGGAATGTAAGCGTTGGGTTAACTTAGACTGTCATTTCTTAGATTGGTTATATTTTCCATTCAGTACAAGAAATCCCAAGGAAATATGT